ACTCCCAGAATTCCCCAGCCAGCAAGGGTGGCTGGGGAATTCTGGGAGTTGAAGTCTGCCCGTCTTAAAGCTGCCAAGGTTGAGAAACACTGCTCTATATACATGGGAATTATCCTAATCATTGCTCTGGGAAATGTTTGATAAATATAGACAATAAAGCTATAAACTGTCATTCGCTCTTGGCTTCCGTTTTTCTGCATTTGAAATGAGAGGGTGAGCTTAAACCTGGGGAGATGCGGTTTTCGATTGATCAATCAGGCCATCATTGACTTCATTATTTAGGAACTGTATATGGCTGCCCATCTTAAAGACTTAACTCTGGGGAGCTAATAACCAGGTTACAGGAAAAATAATGTAAAAAGAGCTATAACCCCATAGCCAAATCATTGAAACGAGGAAAACTAAGGCACCCTATAACAAATTCATAAAGCAGCCGTGCATTAAATGGGTTCCTGTAACATCCCCGCCCTGATGCCTCGTGAAAAAGCTATGACCAGTGGCCTTTGAAATATGACGATCACCTATAATACCTCTCAGGATAAGTGTTTGTAATGGAAAGAATTCACGGCCTGCGGAGGACAATGGATGGAAGAGCCTTGGATGATAGCAACAAAGATTCTTTGCTGAAAGTTAGGGCTTTTAAGCAGAACCTGGATTGCCGTCTTTTGGGAAAGTAGATTGGCTAAGGGGTCAGACTGGATGTTCTCTAGCATCCTCCTCAGCTCTGTGGTTGTAACAATAGCTGGTGAGAGAGATACAGGGCTGTTAAACAAGAATTTCTCCCTTTCTGTGCTCTGTTATTCCCGCTAACGTGTTCTTCCCTGCCCCCTTTCCTGTTTCAGAAGAGGGCAGCTGATTTCTCCAAAACAAAGAGGACTCCTTCACAAACCCGGCGTACATCAGGGCACAGGAAGGTCACCAAGAAGGAGGATGACATCTTGCTGAGTAAGAACGTCTTATGCCCCCATTCTAGTATGTAGTGTCAGCCCTTCGAGGTAGCCTGGGTAAAGAAACAGACATTGAAAGCATTCTAGGAATGCTATTTGATTACTCTAGGGCAGTGATTCTCAACTTTGGCAACTTGAAGATGTGTGGACTTCAACTCCCAGAATTCCCCAGCCAGCA